CCCGTGGAGACAGACCTCGTCGCCGCTTCGCTTGGACAGCCGCTGTTCGGCTCGGCTCGGCTCGGTGCGCGCCCGAGGCTGGTTTGGCCGATCTGGTCCGCTTGGCGGGCCGGCTCCGTTCGGCAGACTCGGTTCGCGTCGCGGGCTGGTTCGGTTCGGCCGGTTCGGTTCGGCCAGTTCGGTTCGGTTCGGCCGGTTCGGTTCCAGGCTTGGTCCTCGGTTCTCGGTCTTGTCTGCGACCATCGTGCCTCAGCTTGTCTGCTGTCGGTGAGCTCATGGCGCTGCCATCCGATGCGCGCACGCCGTCGCACAGCTCTGTGCCCTCGGTGGGCTCATTGCCGCCCCCCTCCGCCCGTCTGCGCGGCGCTCTGCGCCTCCCCAGTCAATCTCTGGGCTGCCTCTTGCCGCCTCGCCCTCTCCCCCGACCTCCCCCCCTTCCTCCTGCGGCCACGCGCAGAGGGGGGCAGGGGCAGGGGTAGGGGGAGAGGCTTCTTAGAAACTCTCCTGCTTCTAAGAAGCCTTCCCCCCTCCCCCTACCCCGCTCTGCGCGCCGCCAGCTGCTGCTCGGCGGCGAAATCCGAAGCCTTCCCTCGCCGATCAACGACTCAGGCCTCCCACAGATTCAGGAGGATGGACGGCTTGTGGGGGTAAGGTCCGGATGTCGCCACCTATTGGGAGGGGCTGCCAGGGCGCCCTCGTCGACACGGCTGGGTCCGCTGCGAGTTCCAGGTCAGGCAGCGCTCCATGACAGGTCTGGGGGTCGATTTTGAGAAGGAGGAGGAGGAGGGCGAGGAGGGAGAGGAGGGATAGAAGGGCGAGGATGGAGAGGAGGGAGAGGAGGGAGAGAAGGGCGAGGAGGGAGAGGAGGGAGAGGAGGGAGAGAAGGGCGAGACGAAGGGTGAGGAGGGCGAGAATGGCAGGGATGGCGAGGAAGGCGAGGAGGGAGAGGAGGGAGAGGAGGGCGAGGAAGGAAAGGAGGGCGAGGAGGAAGGAGGAGAAAGAGGAGGGAGATCAGGGTAAGAAGGAAAATAATGACGATGATGATGATGATGATGATGATGATGATGATGATGATGATGATGATGATGATGATGATGATGATGATGATGATGCTGATGCTGATGATGATGATGATTGATGATGATGATGATGATGATGATGATGATGATGATGATGCTGATGCTGATGATGATGATGATGATGATGATGATGATGATGATGATGATGATGATGATGATGATGATGATGATGATGAGGAGGAGGAGGAGGAGGAGAAGGAGGAGGAGGAGGAGGAGCAGGGAGAAAACGAGGTTCTCCCACGGTCGTCACTGTGAGCACCACCAGCACTACCACTACCACTTCCACAGCATTTCTGGCCCCCACCACTACCACTACCACTACCACATCCCGGCGTAGTACTTCCGCTGCCATTACGACTACTGCGGCCACTATAAAGCCCACGACCGCCATTTTATGCCCACTACCCCTGCCGTGCTATTCGCCATTGCCGCTGCCAGTACGGGTACCACCATTACCACTACCACTGCTGCCAATGCCATCCCCGCTGCGTGCATCCCACCATTCTAAACAGTAGAGGCATGCGGGTCGGCATTGGCAAAGCGAGCGAACCCTGAGGCGATGTCGTGGGAGGAAGAAGAACTGCAGACACCAGTAGCAGCACAAACACCAGCATCACCACCAGGCCGCACCACTGCAGTTCACGACCATGGCCATGGCCACGACTGCGACCCTTGCCACGACCGAGGCTTCGTGCCGCCGCTGCGGCCCAGACGCTGACTCTGACTCCCGCCCCGGACTGCCGTTCCGAACGCCGGCTCCGGCAGACACGCTGGCTCCGACGAGAAACAGAGAGCTCTGACGCTGCCTCCGCAGCCCAGTTCCGGCTCTTGTGCCGACCGCTGCTGCTTCGATGGGGGCCCTTCGCTCGAGTCTGAAAACGACCATCACAAGAAAAAACGCCACAAACATGAACTTTTGGCGCTCCGCGCGGATTTCTCGGATCCGCGCTGGGCCCCCCCCCGGCGGCGCCTCTGGCGCCGCCCCTGGCGCGCTCCGCGCGCCTGGGAGGGAGTCCAGCGCGTATCCAAGAAATCCGCTCGGAGCGCCAAAGTTTATGCTTATGGGGGTTTTTGTCTTCCAGACCAGGAGCTCGAGCAATGGGTCGAGTACCACCTCTTCGGTCGCCGTGTATCAGCGGCGTGACGCTAGGCTGCACGACGGAGAGAGCTGCAGCAGAACGCTGAGAGGCAGCGTGGTATGGACGCCCACGGGCTCGGTGTGCAGGGGAATCTGTGGGGGAACAAAAAGTGACATAACCATAAAAACTCGGAGGTCCGCGCGGATTTCTCGGATCGGCGCTGGACCCCCCTCCCTGGCGCGCGCAGCGCGCCAGTGGCGGCGCCGGAGGCGCCGCCGGGGGACCCCAGCGCCGATCCGAGAAATCCGCGCGGACCTCCGAGTTTTTTTGGTTATGTCACTTTTTGTTCCCCTAATCTGGACCGCGTCACTGGGCAACGCGGTGCTACCCAGCAGCGAGTCCCTGAGCAGCAGCTTGAGCAGATCGGCCGCGAGCGTGCCGACCAGCAGGACGGACACGACCTTCACTGCGCGGAGGCGTGCCCTGGGGCCTCCTCGAACTGCTCGCCTTTTGCCGGGCTTCGACCGCGCTGCCCGCCACGGTTTCCGAGGCTCTTCTTCCTGCTCCCTGTATGGTTTCCGCGTTGCCCGCCGCGGTTTCCTGCTTCCTTTCATGCACGTTTTCTGTATGGATGTGATCACCCTCTTTGTTAATTCAAGCTTCGCGCGGCCCGCTTAGCTTCGACCGGAAGAGGTGCGCTCTCGACCCGCGGATCAAAAAAAATGGATGTGATGCTGCTCCGCTGTTCGGGGTGGCGCTTTGGCCCGGCAGAGACGTGCGTCATGGCGCCGGCTCCGCCTTCTGGGGCCGTCCCCGGTTCTTTGCCGCGCGGCGGGGCCGTCTCCATTCGCAGCGGAGCCGCTGCTCTGGGACGTTCTATTCCGATTCGGTTCTGCCTTGCCTCTTCCTCTCTTCCTTTCTTTTCTCTTTCTCACTTTTTTGTTTTTGTTTTGTTTTTGTTGTCATCTCTCTCTCTCTCTCTTTGCCGCCGCCTCCCCCGCCCCTTACCCGTTAGGAACTTCGGATTAGTTCTTTCGCCAGCCTTGCTATACTGGTTTATACTGGTTTCAACTTGATTGGCGTTACTCCGGTATTCCCTTTCCTTTTCCATCCCCTTCTTGTCCATCTCATGTTTTGCTAGATTCATACGCGTGGCTGTGTGTACCTTACGCGATATCGCACAGCGTTGTCGACCACACTACTGGGGTTCGGATCTGCGCGTAGGTTTGCTTTTGGCGGTTGGCCATTTTGCTGTTTATCTGTTCTGCGCGACCTGTTTTCTTCTCCTCTGTACCGTCTTCTTCCTCCTCCTCCTCGTCCTCCTCGTCCTCCTCCTCCTCCTATTTCAACGTCGACCCTCTAGCCACGGAGGTCGAGTTTTCACTACCTCCTCCTTCTCCTCCTCCTCCTCCTCCTCCTCCTCCTCCTTCAGCGGGCGCCGCCCGACGCGCCGCAGCGCCGCGGTTCGACTCGGACGGCATGGTCGGCCCACTTCGGCCGCGCGCAGGCGGCCTCCGCCCGCCGCGTGCCGGCCGGTCGGACCCGGACGGAGGGCACCGTGCGGCGGCGCCGCGTGGGGGCTGCAGCCCCGCGCTCGCGCCCTCGCCTGGCTCGGAGCGGCGTGCCGCGGGCCAGGTCGTTCGCAGCCCGCGTGGCCGGGCGGCGTGAGGTGCCGTGAGCTTGTGGAGTTTTGGACGCTTCACGTCTCCTCCTTCTCCAGACTCCCTGGGTTGCAGCACCCTTGCACCCGCCGCCCCGGCGCCGGCCGCGGCCCGCGCGCGCGTCCGGCCAATTAGTTTCGGCCGCAGCCCGACCGTTACTCGCCGCCGCTGGCGCTTCCGCCCGCGGCTGTAAAAAAAAAGTCTCCTCCTTCTCATGCTCTGTTCCTCGGCGAGTCGTGCCGCCCCTGGTATGCTATGGTCGGCTCGGGGAGGGTACGCTGGTGTTCTCCGTGCCCGTCGTGTGTTCTTGTGCATCCTGGGAAAAGGGGCTTCCTCGAGTGATCTCATGGTTTGGGATGTCTTGGCCAGCGGAGGGCCTCATTCTCTCGAAGGATGTTCTTCTGTCTTAGGTCCGACCGTAAGCCAGCTTGCAGCCTGGGCCCCCTGGCGGTAAGCTGGGCGGAGCGGCGGAAGCCTCGGCTCCCCGCCCTCCCGCGCGTCGGGGCCGGGCCTCGATGCGCGCGGATTGCCCCTGGAGAGTGCTCCAGGAGCGACGGGGTCTTTGCTGTTCAGCCAGCCAGCCTGGGCATGCAGCCTTCTAGGACGAGGATCGCCCATTATGGAGCACAGCACCAAACTTCTCCTCCTCTTCATCTCCTCTTCTTCTCCTTCTTGGCACCGTTGACTGGCTGGCGCACTTCGGCGGCTCATTTTTGAAATGGTTGTTGCTTGTGGTGTTGTTGCGTCGGAAAGAATATGTATTTTCTCGCTCTCCTATTCCTCCTCCCTCCCTCCTCGTGCTTCTCTTCCCTCTCCTCCCAGTGCGTCTCTTCCTGCTCCTGCTGCCGCTTCTTATTCTCTTCTTCCTCCTCCTCCTCCTCCTCCTCCTTCTCCTCCTCCTCCCCTGCCCCCTGCCTCCTCCTCCTCCTCCTCCTCCTCCTCCTCCTCCTCCTCCCCTGCCCCCTGCCTCCTCCTCCCTCCTTCTCCTCCTCCTCCTCCGCCTCCTCTGCCTCCTCCTCCTCGGCCTCCTCCTCCTCCTCTCCTCCTCCTCCTCTCCTCCTCCTCTCCTCTCCTCCTTCCTCCTCCTCCTCCTCCTCCTCCTCCTCTCCTCCTCCTCCTCCTCCTCCTCCTCCTCCTCCTCCTCCTCCTCCTCCTCCTCCTCCTCCTCCTCCCCCCCCGCAGCCACTCTGAAGACGCGCCCTCCCCACCCCGCCGCGCGGCCTCGGTCCCGGGATGGCGGTGCAGGTACGCACGGCGCCTCAGAGACCCCAGCAGGCCAGGTGGGCGGGCCGCGCCGGGGCGCGAGCTCCTCTGCTCCTCAGGGGCAGCGTTGGGGCGGGATGTGCTCAGGGCACAGGCAGCGTCCGAGGTTCTCGGGCGTTCTCGTGGGTTTTCGGCAGGTTTCCAGTGGGGAGTTCAGCGGGGTTCGATGGAGGATCGAGGTTCGAGGTTTCTGGCCGCTCTTGTGGGCTCTCAGCATTTGTCCAGCCCGGGGATGCGTGCCTCGCCGAGGGCGCCCCGGGGGAATCCCGATCGTCCCGAACGGAAGCTGGAGGCCCGAGTTATGACCCGAGAACTACGGGGGACGGGGATGGGCTCATGGAGAGATGCATCGACCCCAAATCACCCATTGATCGTCAATCTGAGGCCCGATAGCCTAGACCCGCCCAAGAAGAGTCGCAGTCGGGGGCCTATCGCCGATCTATCGGCGATGTCTCGCCGATTCCATCTCGATGTTTCCACCCCTGAGCTGGTCCCCCCCCCCAACGTTGCCCTTTAGCTCCTCCGCTTCTCTGTCCTCCCCCCTGTCCTCCCAAGCTTCGGTCGCGAAGGTGGAGGGGAGGGAAGAGGTTTGCGAGTTTCGAGTTTCGAGGTTCGAGGGTTTCGGGTGCTTTCGCTTGCTCGTGGCGGTTTTCCAGCCTCGGAGGCGATCTAGCAGCTGCGCCTTGGCAATACAGTCGGGTCGCTGAAGAAGGAACCCTTTTCGTTGGGGAGGGGCTCCGTGTTCCTTAAGTGTTTCACAGCTTGCCTCAGGTTTTTCTTATGTTTTCGACGGGAATTCGAAGTTTAACCCATGGCAAAAAGGGGCCTCGTTCCTTATTTAGGGTTCCTTAGGTCAACGCCCCGACTGTAGCGTTCCGGGGGTGTCAGGGCGTGTCGCGCCGCCTGTCTTGGCCCACCATGCTTCGGCGCGACTCGCCAACCACGTTCCCACTTCCAGGCGTCAACGTCCCCTCCCCCTCCCCTTCCTCCCCCTCCTCCTCCTCCTCCTCCTCCTCCTCCTCCTCCTCCTCCTCCTCCTCCTGAGCTTGTCTCAGCCTCCTGCCCCGCGGAGCGGAGTGGCCCGCTAATTATCCGTTCGCAGGGCATGGCGTGTCGCCGGGGCCGCCGCCGCGACACACTCGGCAAGCGTTCCTGGCCGCAGGTCCCGAGGGCTTCAGAGAAAAGGCCCTTCTTTCCCTCACCCTCCTTGGTCAGCTTTTGCAACTAGGGTTCCCTTCCCATCACTTGGGCCAGCTGGCACTTTTCGTCTCGTGTTGCATTGGCAGGGTAGTGTTAGGGATAGACAAAAAGCTGCTCTGGGAGCTAGCGTGAGAGCTCTTAGGGTTAGTGAATATCGAATTGCTCGTGCATTCGTTAGTGTCGTGTAGTGCAGTCTCCCGCCACCCCAAGGGCGAGTGAGTCAGTCAGTCAGTCAGTCATTCAGTCAGTCAGTCAGTCAGTCAGTCAGTCAGTCAGTCAGCCCCCCTCCTCCGCCCCCGTGGCTGGCGACTAGCGGAGGGATTGGGGTGGACCTTCAGAGGAGGTTGGCGATGTTCGGCTTCTTGGATCGGGCCGCCGCTTAGTATCTCGGTGCCTGTGCCATTGAGCGCAGGAAGCGCGAGTCCAGCGAGCGGCCCGACTCCTCTGAGCCAATTTGAGCTTGTTTGCTGCACATCGGCGAATGCGATCGCCTCTTCAGCGGGTGTCGTACTTCTTCGCCCCCATCCCCTCCGTTCCTTCGGAACGATCAGTTTGTGTGTGGCAGAAGCCCTGAACAGGGCAGCTCTACCTGGCCTGGCAAATTAAGCACTGTCTTGGGAGCGTCGGGTGTAACAGTACATGATCTTCAAAACGCTTGCAATGGCTTCGTCGGTTGGCAGGGCGCATCATGCTCCATGGGGCATGGATTTAACTCGAGTGCGACATGCTACTTTGACCGTCGCATTCATCAGACAAATATGGCCTATGGGCTTCGCCAATATGGGCAGCAAGTCGAGTTTTTGTTGTGGGAGAGTGTGATGGATTTGTCAAAATCCATTGTTCCGACTGGACGTACCTGCCTTCTGACGTCTCGGACCACGGGTTGACTCATGATGTGGTTTAGCGCTGGAGCCTTCGGTCCATGGAAATGCTGTTGCCCTCGCATGAACCGTCTCACCGTGGCAATCGCGCCCACGGGATCATGATTGCTATCTAGCTGACATATTCCGCGTAAGTGTGTAGCTGGGAAGGCGGCGGCTCCATTCGCAGAGGCTGCCGTCTGAAACCCACCTTGCCGATCTGCTTGCTAGATTCTGTGTTGAACATTGGAAGCGCCCCTACTCTGGTTCTCGCGGAGGTGCTGCCAATTGATCAGCTTGGAGTGGTGTAGAGCACTGCGTGTTTGAGTTCTGCCTTCTTGGACGATGCTCGGCCCTCTCCTACCTGGACACTCGTCAACCCTCCCGTCTGAAGCCATTTTGGCCCAGGCTGCGGGGTCCTCTGCCTGTGCATTCCCACCCCTCCACCCTTAACGACGCTTTTCCTTGAGTCACCTCTCCATTTCTGCTGTGCCGTCGTCCCCCGCCGCTCTGGCTTCTGCTGCGCATTTTTACTGTAGATGACGGCGACGTGCCATCGGCTGCAGTGCTTCCGTCTACGATGGCGGCCCGGATCGTGTGAAGAATGACGGGCATGCTCAAAGCAGCGCTGACGCCAGCCAACAACAGCCCCCCGCCAATGCCACACCCGGAGAGGGTCAGGAAAGCGCGCCTCTCCTGCTGCTCTCCGTCGCCCTCTCCATCCTCGTGCCCGTCCTTCCGGAGATCCAGCCCCGTCTCCCGTTCGTCGTCGTCGGCGTCGTCGTCGTCGTCGCCGTCGCACTCCAGCCTTTGGAACCAGAGGTGCGTGTGCTTACGCCCTCGCACGAGGCATAGCTGCGAGCTCAAACATGGCGTCTCAGGAAAGGCCCCGCCTTCGAGGGATCGAGACATTGTCATCTCTCTCTCTGGGCGGAGGGTGGCGGGGTGGCGGCAGAAGCCCGCAGCAGCAGTTCGAGGGCGGCTCCTCCGGCGGAAGCTGGCGGCGGGCTGCTGGAAGCTGGCGGAAGCAAGATTCGGCCCTCGAAGAGGTGCGCTCTTGTTTCTTGGTTCAGGGGGGTCTTGGGAACAACGCTCTTGGAGTCTTGGGACGGCTCTAGGGGCGTCCAAGCGGCGGCGAGCGAGGGGGGCTTCTCAGAAGGCCGCGGGACTTCTCAGAAGCCCCCGCGCCTTCTAAGAGGACGAGGATAAATCCGGGTGAGGATAAAACGAGCATCTCTGAGGTGTGGCGGCTCTGGAGGATGCCTCGGGCGCCGCGGCCTTCCTCTCAGAGAGCTCTCCAGGACTCTCCAGAACTGATCTTGAACTCAAAAAACCGGTTTTTGAATTCAAAAACTGGTTTCTGAATTCCCCCCAAACAGTTTTTCGAATTCAAAAACTAGTCCTCGTCCACGTCTTGGTTTGGGGCAAGCAGACGGGAGGCCGTCCCTCTCGGAAGGCGGCGGGGCTTCCTAGAAGCCCTCGCGCCATCTCGGAAGGCACATTTTGCACGCTGCGGCACGGCAGAGGCAATCCGCACGGGCGCTCGAGCTGCCGGTGGCGCTCGACGAACTTCGGCCAGAAAACAAACGACACCACCCCACCACCGGTCAGAGCAGGACCGAAGCCGACTTCGAGCCGGGCACCCCGCCGTCAGCGCAAGCGAAAAGCAAACACCTGCACGAGTTCCACAGGTGCGTTGTTCAGTCAGGCTGCTGATGCTGCTGCTCGTCCGAAGCTCATCAGATCTCGTCCGCTTTCTGCGGTCACGAGCGACGAACTTATCAAAACACATCTGCGTGTGGGTACGCACAGATATGCACGCGTATAGGTATATGTCTATGTTTGTGATTAGGCATATGTACATTGACACGTATGTATGTATGCATGTATATTTGTATGCATATAACTATGTACACATGTCTGTCTGTCTGTCTGTCTGTCTGTCTGTCTGTCTGTCTGTCTGTCTGTCTGTGTGTACGTACGTATGTATGTCTGCATGTATGCATACATGCATCCGTGTATACATGTACGTATATGTTTTAGGTGTTTATATGTATGTATGTATGTATGTATGTATGTATGTATGTATGTATGTATGTATGTATGTATGTATGTAAATCTGCACGTGTGTATGCATGCAGGAATGTATACATGTATGTAAATATGCACCTCTCTGTCTATGTATGTATGCATGCAGTCATGTTTGCATGTACTTGTATGTACATATACATGTGTATAGATTTGTATGTGTCTTTGCGACTGTATATATATGTGTGTCTGTGTACACGTGTATATAGATATACACATACATACCTGTGAACATATAGATATACACATATATATATATATATATATGTGTGTGCATGTACAGATCTATGCATACACACATATGTACTTACATACGCACATACATAGGTACGGGCATACATGCTCGACGCTGGCGCTCTTCGCAGAGGCGGGAGCGGGGAACACGAGGGTCTGGAGCCCCCCCCTCGGCCCCAGATCATGCCGAAACTGGCGCATTCCCCCGAAGCACCGGCCGCAGCATGCCCACTCCATGCCAATCGACGGAAACTTCGGCCAGCATGTTTGTACAAGTACTGCTGCTGATGCTGATGATGCTGGTGCGGATGGTGATGATGATGCTGCTGATGATGATGATGATGGTGATGATGCAGATTATGCTCTTGATGATAATGCTGATGATGCTGCTGATGCTGATGATGGCGAGGATGATGCTGCTGCTGCTGATGATGATGATGGCGATGATGATGACAACGATGATGACGATGATGCGGATCCTAGCTAAAACCTGAGCGCGCTCGAAGCGCGCATGTCTTGACTGTATAATATGTATAGATGTATATATATATATGTACATATATATATATATATATATTCACTTTTGATACGTGTGTATATGCACATTTACACGTATGCGCTCGCAGTCTTGAACCCCAGCGCGGATGTGTCGCGCGAAGCGCACCCATCCGATCGCGTATCCATGGGATCGCGCCTCGGTGTCCAGACCGCGAGGGCATGGTTGTGGATATGCCCGTCGTTCGTGATACTCCCCGTCCTCCCCCGCTTTCCCGTTCTCCTCGTCCTCCCCCCCCCCCTCTCGCTCCTGCTGCTCTTTCCCCTCCTCCTCCCCGTCCTCCTCTGCCTCCTTTCTCATCGCCCCTGGGGTACCGTGTGGGTGGGGTGGCGCCTGCGGAGCGATGCTTGGCATAAAGTTCGACGTCTTCAGAAGGACGCAGAACCCGTTCATTCGATACTGGTGGCGGAGAGTGCAGCGGTTCGAGGAGCGCACTGGAATGCTGACTGCTGGCCTTCCGCTGGCGGTGACAATGATCGCCAGCCTCACGGTGTCCACCATTATCCTCGACCGCCAGTTTGAGCTGCGGGACATGCGCGCGCGCTCCATGAGCCTGCGGGAGGCCACGCTGGAGGAGGAGCACAAGGCGATGCAGGAGTTCCTGAAGGGCACCGAGGACGAGTACGAGATGAAGGTCATCCCCGACACCTACAGGGCCGGGGGTGGGCGTTGACATGAGCGCTAGTGCTCATCTCGTACTTACTTGCCTTCTCGTGGCGCATCTCCTGTTCATTGTCTTCCTCTTTCCGTGAGACCTTGATGTTTCAGTCTGCGATTTGGCTTTTCCGCGGAGCGCCGCGAACTTGCGTGCAGTCCCTTTATTGAGCGGCGGAAGAATGGGACAACATCAACCTGCCCGCCGTCGGGGACGCCTCCACCCCGGGGGCGGCTGGAAGGCTAATACCCCGACGTGCCACCGCAGGGGTATAAGCTTTCCAGCCGTCCTAGGCAGGCGTCCCTGACGGCGGAACAGTTCATTTTATACAG